TCTTCTGCACGAAGGCTGCTCATGGGAAGCTCTTCAATAGTGATGTCCCGGACGGTTCGCTGGCGAATAGTTCCCGGCGAACATCGCTTGTTCGCGTTCGCCACGGATGGCGAACATATGTGCTGTTCGGTCCACCCCCTATTCGTCATCATTGAGTAAACTTTGACCCTGTACCTCACAGTCAGCAGACACATTCCAGCCAATCAACAGCAGACCCTCCCTCCCAGAGCCTCCCACCTCCTGGACAGCATCCATTTTACATTCATTGTGAAGCTGCATTCTTAGTGAGAGGAGGGACAGTGTAGCTGCTGCTGATTTGATAGGGAAATTGATAGCTAGGCTAGTGTATTCGGTGTCCACTACAGTCCTGAAGGACTCATCTGATCTCTGCTGTAAGGACAGCACCCCAAAAAGCCCTTTTTAGGGCTAGAACATCAGTCTGCTTTTTTTTTCTGTGTAATGTAATTGCAGTTGCCTGCCTGCCAGCCTGTGTGTCAGGCTCACAGCATATACTGTGCCCACTTGCCCAGTGCCACCACTCACTCACTGGTGTCCCAATAGCTTGCATTTAAAAAAAACAAAAAACTTTTTGGACTGTAATATAATAGCAGTCAGTTTCCTTCACGAGTGTGCGTTTCAGGGCCTGCCCAGTGCCACCACTCACTCACTGGTGTCCCAATAGCTTGCATTTAAAAAAAACAAAAAACTTTTTGGACTGTAATATAATAGCAGTCAGTTTCCTTCACGAGTGTGCGTTTCAGGGCCTGCCCAGTGCCACCACTCACTCACTGGTGTCCCAATAGCTTGCATTTAAAAAAAACAAAACTTTTTGGACTGTAATATAATAGCAGTCAGTTTCCTTCACGAGTGTGCATTTCAGGGCCTGCCCAGTGCCACCACTCACTCACTGGTGTCACAATAGCTTGCATTTAAAAAAACAAAAAGCTTTTATGTTCGCGACATCACTACTCTTCGACTTTCCAGCATGTCAATGACCCTAAAGCACAAGGCCAAGTTGACCCTCCAGTGGTTACCGCAGAAAAAGGTGAAGGTTCTAGAGTGACTATGACAATCTCCTGACCTTAATATAATTGATCCACTCTGGGGAGATCTAAAACGTGCGGTTCACGCAAGACGACCAAAGACTTTGCAAGACCTGTAGGCATATTGCCAAGACAAATGGGTAGCTATACCACCTGCAAGAATTAGGGGCTACATAGACAACCAGTACAAAATACTACGTGCTGTCATTGATGCTTAAGGCTAGTTCAGTATTAAGAACTAAGAGTATGCAGAGTTTTAAACAGGGGTCATTTCATTTTTTTTTCTTTGTTGCCATGTTTTGTTTTAATTATTGTGCCATTCTGTTATAACCTACAATTGAATATGAATCCCATAAGAAATGAAAGAAATGTGTTTTAACTGCTCACTCATGTATTCTTTAAAAAAAAAAAAAAATTCTCCAAGGGAATGCAAACTTTTGAGCACAACTGTACATTTAAGAATATGTTCCTGTTACTAGCTTCTCTAAGAATGAAACATATTAATTGGTTGTCCACTGCTGTAATCTCTTTGTGCCCTTGGAAAACAACTTAGCCCCTTAAGGATGGAGCTAAATGTACACGTTGTGAACAAAACAAAATGTAAACAAATCCTGGCATTTACGCTACATGTCTGTCCAACCGTAATTCCCCTCTTTCATAGTAAATGCACCCACCCTTATTATATAATATCATTTTATTCAGGGGAAACAGGGCTTTCATTTAATATCAAATATTTAGCTATGAAGCATAATTTAATATGAAAAAAATGGGAGAAAATAAGATTTTTTTTTCTTTTAGTTCTACATGACATTTTAACTGTCAATGTCATAATACTGTTTGCTTTTACTGCAATAAAATACACATATTTGTATTCAGCAAAGTCTCACATGTAAGACAGTACCCCCTATGTACAGGTTTTATGGCGTTTTGGGAAGTTACAGGGTCAAATATAGCACGTTACATTTGAAATTGAAATTCGCCAGATAGGTTATGTTACCTTTGAGACTGTATAGTAGCCCAGGAATAAAATTTACACCCATAATGGCATACCATTTGCAATAGTAGATAACCCAAGATATTGCAAATGGGGTATGTCCAGTCTTTTTTAGTAGCCATCTGGTCACAAACACTGGCCAAAGTTAGCGTTAGTATTTGTGTGTGAAAAATGCAAAAAATGCCAATTCTGGCCAGTGTTTGTGACTAAGTGGCTACTAAAAAAGACTGGACATACCCCGTTTGCAATACCTTGGGTTGTCTACTATTGCAAATGGTATGCCATCATAGGGGTAATTTTCATTCTTGGGCTACCATAGGGTCTCAAAGGCAAAGCTTGCAGACTTACTACGGATTTTATCTGCAAGCTTGAAATGATGTGGGATATACCCGATGGTTCCTTGATGTGCACCATGGATTTTAACAGCCTATATACCTCCATACCACATGAGGAAGGTATTGAGGCGGTATTTGGTGCAATGCAGGGTATGGATATGAGCGAGGCATACAGGGGCTTACTTGTTGACTCATTAGTGCTGTATAAGAACTACTTTGTTTTTGAGGGTAAATATTACCTCCAGATACAGGGTACAGCGATGTAGCACCGACATATGCCAATCTATTTATGGCAGCTTTTGAGGATGCTTTTGTATACCGAGATCAGGACTTTACGCACTATGTGAGGTTGTGGCTCAGGTATATAGATGATATTTTCTTTTTTTGGACAGGTAATGTGGATGATCTTATGGTTTTCAAAGAGAGACTTGATGGTTGTTTGGACACCATCTCCTTTACGTTGGAATATGATCCTCATGAGATGCATTTTTTGGATGTTAATCTACAGGTAAGAGGGGATCGTTTATCATTTGATCTGTACCAGAAGCCCACAGATCGGGTTTCGTACATACATGCGGATTCCTTTCACCCGGTATCATTTATTAAGAATTTACCATACGGCCAGTTTGTCAGGGCACGTAGAATAGTGTCTGATGAAGTTAAATATGACATCAGGGCTGAACAATTGGTAAAAGCATTCTCTTCTAGAGGATATGAGACGGAAAAATAATAATGATAATATGATATCACACATGGAAAGCCTTTATTGCTATCCCTAGCCCTTTTCTGCAAGAGGGCAAAAATGCTTTCTAAGAATACCCTCTTGCAGAAAAGGGCTAGGGATAGCAATAAAGGCTTTCCATGTGTGATAACATATTCCACTCACTTCAGTGAGGTTAAACACATCATTAATAAGCACTGGAAAATTTTGCAATCTGATCCTAAGCTTCTCCTCTGTTTTAATGAGAGACCTTTGTTTTCATTCAAGCGACACAAGAGCCTAAGGGACCATTTAATGAAGAACGTCAATCTACAGGGGAAGATGGATACAGCTGACACCTGGCTTTCTGCGGCACCGGGTATGTACTGCTGTGGGCACTGTATTAACTGCAATGGGGTGATTACAGGAGACCATTTTTCACACCTGAGGACGGGTAGGAGGAACCCGATTCGGGAATTTTGGAATTGCCAGTCGCAGTTTGTGGTATATATGCTCAAATGCCCGTGTGGATTAGCGTATGTGGGTGAAACCACGCGTACGCTCACTATAAGGATTAGGAACACAAGAGTGGCATACGGATGAATAAGATGCAATATCCGGTGGCCAGGTACTTCACTGAGAAAAGACATACAGTTTCCCAATTGAGGTACATGATTTTGGAGGTGATTAAACCCAGTAGAGGAGGCATTTCGCAAGTGGTTAGGCTTAAACAACGTGAGGTATACTGGATTTATGAGCTGCAGACTTTGTATCCTAAGGGTCTGAATGAGGATAAGGATCTATCACCATTTCTATAATCCTGACGATGTTTTACTCTGCCTGTGTTTTGTCTGTATCTTTATGTTTTGTTTTTATTTCCTTTTATAGATTGAAGCTGCAGTAGCCATTTGGACCATGATGTTTGTGATATTAGAGTACTGGAAAATACTGAATCATTTAGAATATATCATCATATACGTTGAATGGCTTCATGTTATGGTTATGATGACCCATCATGTGTATATAGATATATATATATATATATATATATATATATATAATTTTGTATTCTATACTATAGCGAATTGTGTTTATATAAATTTTAGGATCAGTTATGTACTTAATATACGGATAATATTGAGTGATGACACCCACGACTACGAGAGCTTTTCGCCATGAGTAGTGTTTTCCTGTGGGTGGTATGATGTTATTTATCTATGTGAATCCTATGTGGTTGGCATGGGTATGTGTAGTGTACAGATTGATGAAGTTGATGTGACAACGATTATTCTAATATGGTATATATTTATAATGAATTCTTTAATAATATTGATATATTTATAGAATGATATATGCTTGTGATGTAATTTCTGAATATGTTGTTGTATCTTTAAATTGATGATGAATAGCCTCTTAATGTGTGGGTTACATTGTATTATATTATCTTGTGTACAATATGAATGATTTTTCTGATTTTTATTTGTTTGTGTAAATAATTATGTTAATGTATTGAATTAATTTTTTGGACAGTTATTACACAGCTAAGTAGTCAGTATTACATGGAGAACTGCTATTTATTATCATTGCCTGTTTGGCATCTGTAGTAATCTATCTATCACACATTGGGTGTTTGTTGAATTAAAATACTTTTCTGCACATCACTTTTTGGTGTCTTTGTTCCTGTCTTTTGCTTTATAATATTGGTGGGAGATATCTCATGTATAGGCTCACCGATTATTTTCTATTTATAATGTGGATTTATGACTATTTATTCTTATTAGTCCTCTTTTGCATGTACATATGTAATACATGTTTAGTGTATTTGTATGTGGGGTATTGATACTTATGGAGTATAATTAATATGGGCTATTTTGATTGTTAGTTGCCGTCCACTGTGTGTGGGCGTTTTTTTAGAACGATGGGGTACTTCAGTTTGTTTTAGTATTGCGTCTGTGCAAATAGGGTGTTGCTATGTGCATGCGCGGCAGTTTGCCGTTATGCGCATGCGTGAGTGGGATGTTACTACGCTCACGCGCGGCACTCATTATAGTATGCCTGCGCAAATAGGATGTTGCTATGCGCATGCGTGGCAGTTTGCCATTATGCGCTTGTGCGAGCAGGATGTTACTACGCGCATGCACGGCACACATAGTAAGCCTGCGCAAATAGGATGCTGCTATGCGCATGCGCGGTAGTTTGCCGTTATGCGCATGCGCGAGCAGGATGTTACTATGCGCATGCGCTGCACTCATTACAGAACGCATGCGCGGACTATCGTTGCGCGCAGCAGTGGCTATGATGCCTGTGGCGCATATTTATACAGGTGTGTGTTCTGCCAATAAGTAAGATGGCGGTTATGGACACCGGATAAAGTGGGAGTACACTTATTGTCTATAGAGGTTGGTTATTAGAATATTAACATCTGTTATTATTATTTTAGGTCCCATGACTCTTTTTACTCCATATATGTTTTCAGTGCACCCAATCAGTTTTGATTTGATATTACAATGTTACTATTAAAATATTGTGCCAGGACTTGAGGTGATGATGTCACTTCCTGAGCTGGTAACAATTTTGTGCTGATGGCTGTAAGAGGGCTTTATAAGCAGACACATTTGAACATGGATACAGGTACCCTTGATAAGGATACAGGTACCCTTGGTGCCGAAACGTTGGGGGGGTTTGGTGACTCGTGTTTCTGTCTTGAGGCGTGTAAGAATTTTTGTGGTAATTTATTATTATTTTATTGTATTTGCCCTTGCTTCTGTCACTTTGTTTATTTTTTCTTATGTTTTCACTCTGGTACTTTTTTGTACATAATAAAGCTAAGTTTTTTTGAGATTGTTATAGTGTGCATCCTATATTCTATATACATTTGATTATTTATTTATACCATGTTATCACATTAGCAGCATACAAGGCCACAAGACATCTAAGTAATTTCTACAACATAAATCTGACTTACAGAAAAAAAATATTTATTGAAGGATCAAATTACTACATACTTACCATGAAATGTAAATGATGCAAACACTACAAACACAAACAAAATGTCAACTTCAACTCTTACAAGGCTAATTAAAATCACATTTCTCGATAGAAACATATGGGTATTTGGTCTTACCATATAACCATGCAAGTAAGGTAAGTTTGGCATGCAGTGAATATCTAAAATGGCAGGAGAGGGGAGTAACAAGAACATGACTCACCAATATAAGCATATAAAGAAAGCAAAAACACAGCCTTTTAGATTTTTAGATTATTTTATAATTATTTGTAAACTGCAAAAGTGTTTCTACATTTTTATATATATTATAATACATGCATTTATATAGAAACTTAATAAAAAACTATCACACACACACACACTTTTCATATATTGGCATAAGATGGATGTGTTGAAGGTTATTTCAGGTGACATAGCATACAGTCATTTTAACACTGAACACATGGACATTTTAGCAGCTCCCAAACATAAAAAGAAAAAAAACAGAAAAAAAAACAATAAAACAAATGCTGCTAACTTACTTTCATTACGGCATACACTCTGAAAGAAAATATTTATCCTTCAAAACTGCCATTGAGAGCACACCAGTTTTACTGCTTACCAGTTAAATATTTTATTGCACAGCTTGACTGTTTCACTTGTTCTAATATTACGCGTGCAAGCTTTCAAAACAAGTATCTACCTGTCAAAATAAATAGTTACAACTGAACTATACAAAACACAATAAAACGAGAGCAGGAGAAATTCCAAAACCTTCATGAGCCATTAAACTTTGTGTCTGTCACTCTGTACAGTATAAATCTGTGATGTTGTCAAGTGGAGGCTTCTATTATTTTAACTGTCATAGTTAAAGTCTTTCATCTATGTCTGCGATACAGAAGCAAAATGGACATCAGATATGACATATCAATTGTGTAGTGTTATTTGAAATAAATTATTTTCTTTTGTAGTCCTTTAAAATAGATCCCGTTTACATCACTTACCAAATGGTGAAACATGCTCTCTCTTATATATATAGTTAATACAATGTTTTAGTTAATACAATGTTTTACCAAAATCTGCACACCAGTCAAGCCATAAGACTTGCTTTTCCCACAGAAATCACAAATTTGCAGTGTTACTACCACAAAGGATTCTGGGTGTGCATTTGCAAATTAGTTCAACAAAGAATCACATTTTTGCCTCATTCCATTTTAAACATGGATTCCTTTGAGTCTGTGTTTGCTGTATACAACAGCTTTGAAGCACAACTTAGGATATATATATATATATATATATATATGAAAAAAAGTTTTTAAGCTTTTGCACTCCTACCTCCAGCCAACAGTACCAGGTGCCCAGCCACACTGCAATATAGAAAGTAATCAATTGCCGGCACTTCTGGTTTTCCAACATCAATATGGTTTATTGTCTTGTGTCAACGTTTCAGTTCCTAGTTTAGACAGACAAAAAAAAACACCTTACAATTGACAGGCTTATATACAGAATAAATGAAATAAATAACGTGGAACGGCTGTACCGGAGTTAGGACGCTTGATTGAATCACCCAGATGATTCCCTGTGAGTCGTGGGCAAGGGCCACTCCTTCACTACCTACTTCCGTTGTCTATGCTTTGCCCTGGCTGCCGCCGATAACAATCGTCTATTGGCTGCTCAAAGAACCGCTGACAGCAGACGAAATCTGTGTGTGGATCCGCCCATGCCTCACGTGCATCAGGACGCGTTTCCATAGCTACCGGATGCCAGTTTTACTTAGATGGGATACAACCATGTACAAACTTAGGTTAATCCGATAAGTTACTAAGTATAGCAATTAGATTCAACATAGAGGTTATATACATACCAATATAATTCAGCTAATACTCCCCTATAGCCATAAGCAACAAGTAAACTTAGATAAACCAACAAATACCTGTGAGTCTTAGAGAGGGAACTTTTGTTCCAATGTACTTGTGCAAAAGACAAACTTTAAATATGATAACATAAAGCATAATCATAGGATACTATATTCTGTGATCCATTATTTAAGTAATGGTCCATACATTGTGGGAGCAAAGATAATTGTGTTATTCCTACAAGGGAATAAATCTAAGGAAGTAGAATAGTATAATATCACTAAAGAAGTGCAAATTTAAAGTGACCGTGCATAGAATTAAAGTGACAGATCTAATGTTTATTCAAAAAAGGTACAGGGCATCTCAAAATAAATATGTACCCTGATAATCCATAATATGGGCACTGTCCGTGTCCTAAGTAAGTACTAAGTAATCAAATTAATTATCAAACAAGTGAAAAGTGCAAAATAAAATCTCAAAAACAACTGAAAAAAATGAACATGCAAAATACTTGATCCAATGTTTTGGATCCTTGAGAAAATAAACAGTATCCCTCCTCAATTGTCCTCCAACAAAATAGTTACAAGGAATTATATAGGGTTGCATGATCTATGTTAACCATCTCCCTATCTAGAAGTAGAACCATTAATAGTGGTGAGAGTAATATAAAATGGTGAAAACAATAATATCTATTGCTCATAACATATACCCAAATTATTAAAAACATCTATATTCATATATACATTATTTACAAATTAATAAGTAAGGGATTTAGATAGACTGGGGGACTGGGCACTCAAATGGCAGATGAAATTTAATGTTGAAAAATGCAAAGTTATGCACTTCGGCGTAAAGAATACACAAGCAACGTATACCCTTAATGGAAGCAAATTAAGGATAACAACACACGAAAAGGACTTGTGAATTGTTATAGACAACAAACTATTCAACAATGTGCAATGTCAATCAGCAGTGGCCAAGGCCAGTAAGGTATTGTCATGCATGAAAAAGGGCATTCATTCTCGGGACAAGAATATAATTTTGCCTCTTTATAAATCACTGGTAAGACCCCATATTGAATATGCTGTGCAATTTTGGGCACCTGTTCTAAAGAAGGATATTATGGCACTAGAAAAAGTGCAGAGGCGGGCTACAAAATTAATAAAAGGAACGGAACAAATTGGCTATGAAGAAAGGTTAACAAATTTAAACCTATTTAACTTAATATCCATAATCCATCTTCTTATCAAAGTAATGATTTAGTAATGCTGTCAAAGTCTGAACATTTTATTGTTGTAAAACCAGGCCTAGACTCAGAAACACAGAATGCTGAACTACCAAGTTTGTGTTAAAAAATAAATACATAAATATCATCTTACACTGGTTTTTCAACTGTATCACAGCTTGAATAATATGATTCATAGTTACATAGTTACATAGGCTGAGAAGAGATATGTGTCCATCATGTTCAGCCTCCCTCACATTTGTTTTTTGCTGTTGATCCAAAAGAAGGAAGAAAAACCCACTTTGTTTTAGACTAAATCTTCTTTCTTCCAGTCTAAACGCATGACCTTGTGTCCTATGTAAAGTCTTGTTTGTGAATAGATTTCCACACAATGGTTTGTATTGGCCCTAGATATATTTGTATAATGGTATCATATTCCCTTTGAGGAGATATTTTTCTAAACTAAAAAGGTTTAAATTTGTTAACCTTTTTTCATAGCTAAAATGTTCCATTCCTTTTATTAATTTTGTAGCCCGCCTCTGCACTTTTCTAGTGTCATAATATCCTTCTTTAGAACAGGTGTCCAAAATTGCACAGCATATTCAAGATGTGGTCTTACCAGTGATTTATAAATAGGCAAAATGATATTCTCATCTCGAGAATTAATGCCCTTTTTCATACATGGCAATACTTTACTGGCCTTAGCCACTGCTGATTGACATTGCACATTGTTGCATAGTTTGTGGCATACAACAATTCCTAAGTCCTTCTCGTGTGTTGTTACCCCTAATTCGCTTCTATTAAGGGTATGCGTTGCTTGTGCATTCTTTACGTCAAAGTGCATAACTTTGCATTTTCCTACATTAAATATAATCTGCCATTTGAGTGCCCAGTTCCCCAGTCTATCTAAATCCCTCTGCAGCAAACTAATATTTTGCTCACATTGTATTACTTTACAGATTTTTGTGTAATCTGTAAACACTGAAAGATGGCTTTCATTGCTTATTTCAAGATCATTTATAATGTTAAATAGAAGGGGTCCCAGAACAGAACTCTGAGGGATCCCACTTCCCACCTATATCCAGCATGAAAATGTACCACTTATGACAACTCTCTGTACTATTTTTAAGCCGATGTTCTACCCAAGAATAAGAATTTTCATCCAGACCGATTTCTTTGAGTTTGAACACTAACCTA